AGCTTCTGGTTAAAATGGGAACAAGTGAGACCAGCTTCCAGCATTCTGCTTTAATTTACCGCAGTAATAATGATGAGAATAACAGTTTAGAGCAGGGCTGTCCAAAGTGGGGTGCGGGGGCCATTTGTGACCCTCAGACCGATTTTTGCGGCCCTGTGACTGCTGTTGAAAATCATCCAAATATGCCCCGTAGATTCAGACAGAAGCTTTTAATTTGTAATTAGGGTGAAAATGATTACATTTCTTACTTGTCTTTTGATAATTAAGTTGGAACAAAAAGTAAAACCAAGTTTATCCAGAAACTTTTCCTGAAAAGCCAAATTTCTTTCTTTTTTTAAAACTAAATATAGCAAACATTTTGAAACAAAGTGACCCAAATCCTTTTCTTATTAACTAAAATAAATTTATTCAATAAAACCCCAAAGAAATGTTAAACTGGAAACATTTCCTTTAGATCTGCTGAGACTTTTTTAATTTTTTCTAGAAAACATCTGAAATTAATCACAAAACGTCATTTTATTAAAATTTGCTCATTTTTTTCGATCTGCTATCTGGTAAAAATCAGGTTTTGGCTCCATAGTAACATCGGGTCACTTTATTTGGCTGAATGTAGTTTTTTTTTATTTTACTTTATGTTCGGCCTGCTTCTGGTTTACAAAAAGTTTGTACACCCCTGACGGTTCTCCTTCCTGTGACCTGCAGCTTCACCACCCAGTCGGGTCATTTCTGCAGCCACCTTCTGGCTCCCTGGGTTTTCGCCAAGATCCAAGAACTCAGGTCAGTTAAAGCCTCAGTTCAGTCCTCATAAACTCAAATTTTCACTTTTTAACTCAGATTTTTGTTGTTTTTCCAACAGAAGAGTCAAAGCTCAGCCGACCACTCCTCAGGTTGTCACATCAACGCCTCCTTCCTCTTCCTCTTCCTCTTCCTCGCTCCTCTCCATCATCACACCCACCGCTGCTCCTCCTTCATCTTCGTCACCTGGACCGTCTTCATCGTCTTTCTCCTCCTCTTCCTCCACAATCGCAGAAAGTGAGACGTTTCCTGCATCCAGAGATCAGTAGAGCTGCAGCTGATGGAGAAAAACAGAAAATATATTTTATTTATTTTTCTCCGTTCAACTAAAAACCAAAGATAAGAAAAAAGAAAGAATAGAATTAAGCTAAATTATGATTCCCGTTAAATATTCAGTGTTAATTTGGTAAAGTTATTTATTAAAGTGTGTCACTCTGCAGGTAGAGGATAAAATATGTTTATATTTATTTACAACGTTCCAAACAGTTTAAATATATATTGTAAGCTATCTATCTACTTTAAAGCATTAATGTTTCACTCTGAAGTAAAACTGTAAAGATATAAAGATTGTTTTTAGAAATAAAAATCTCTAATCTGAATATTAATATTTGGTTTTTTTCATCTTGATTAATTTTCTGAAAATAAAATTCAAAACATTTTTAAGGACAAAAATCATCAAACTTCAATTTAAAACAACAACAACAAAAATCATACAATTGTATCCGTTGTAAAAAAGTCCAGTTCGTTTAGTGAAACATTAATTACGGATGTTACAGGAGGAATTTACTCCAGAAGAGGTTTGTGTTTTTATTCCTGTTAATTATAGTTTAATTTAAAATTAGAATGTAGTTTCAATATAATTAAATCATTTTAACGTCGTGGCTTCATGAGTAACAGTTTGGCTCAAAGAGAGACAGTAAAAAATGACTTCAGGGAAAAAACTGAGTCTGGTCCGTTACTGGGAACCACGTCCGTGTTTCTGCAGGTGTCTAGTTAAAGTATTTGATCCGGTTGCTGGTCAGGGAGAGAAAGCCGCGGCTCGTCCACTCAAACAGGAAGCTGTGAGGAGCGGCAGCATCAGGCTGATGGCATCATGGGAAAAACATGTCACTGAAACGACGTCACTTAGTGGAGTCAAAGTTGAGAAACCTGGTAAGGCCAGTAGGGAGAGGTCAAAGGTCAAGCTGACCCAAAACATTCTAATTGTTTAAAAGGCAACGCAACCAAATATTTAAGGTCTGTGTAAAAATCCAGCCAAATGTTTTCGGTTCTGTGGCGATGTGGTCGTCTGGAGTAGCCATGAGCCGTCAGTGTCTTCTCTGCAGGCTGAGTAAAGAATGAGGGAGGATTCCTGAACGAGGCGTCGAGCTGCTGCTGATTTACAACTTCCAGATCAACGACTGATGGCTTTATTATTGTTTCATTCATTTTAAAATGAAACAGCAGAAGCTCAAAGTTCAGGAGGAATTTACTCCAGAAGAGGTTTGTGGTAGAATGAAGTCATTTTACATTTAGCAGGAAGTTTGTTTGGTTTTTAATGAAAGGAGAGAACAACGACTAATGTTTAAAAAGATTATAATTCATCCAGGTCAGAAGAGGTTTGACAAAAACATTGAAACCTTGGTAGAAACATCTTGTTTTAAATGAAATAATCTGTTAATGGAACCAGAACTTTTCATCAACATTAAGGAATTATTTACTTAAAACAAGCTCCTATTTCTTGCTAAAACGTTATTTATAAGTAAACAGATATTTGCAGTAGAAACCAAATGAAGATAGTTGGTAATATTTTGTGTTTTTGCAGTGTAAAGTTAAAGGATCGGGTTTGAAAACTGAACTTCCTGAAACGTTTCCTGAGCTGAAATTCACTAAAAGTTTTGCTTTAATCTCAGAAACGTTTCTGTTTCACAGCAAACCGCATCTTAAGTTGACAAAGCAAGTGGCTTTTCTGAAAAGGTTTCCATTTTTGCAATTTGTTACATCAGAAGCGTCTCGACATTTTGACTCAGGATGTTGATTAATGTTTTTGTTTCACATGTTTCCTCTTTTTCATGCTGTAAACCTCACAGCGTCTTCATCCTGATGACTAACATGTTTCTTGATGCCGATCATGCCGAGTCACGGTGAATTCATTCAATTTCTCTGCATCATCAGTCACATGAAGTGGAAAGTTGCTGGCTAATCTTCCATCCTTCCACTCTGCCACCACTTCCTGATATTATTATGCAACGCCTATAATAAATATTATGTTTCCTTGAACAGGTCAGGCTGGGCTTGTGGTCTACACAAAACATGATTATTACAGTTTTTGTATGAAATCATTATTAATAATGAGATTTTATTCTGGCCAGCTCATGTCAGAATGAGCTGTTTTAGGGTTCTGTGTCTTTAAATCTAAATAAGCTGTCGTTGGCCACGCCCACATCTCAATGTTTACAACCACAGGTGAAAACAGATGCAAAGAGACGCACAATCATTTGAGAAACAGAAGTGGAGCCTCCTGCACAACCAACAAGAATGCAGCAAGTGGTTTCTGGATTTTAAGTCAATAACAAAACACTTTGTCTTTTCCAGCAGCCATTGTACAGCGCAGCATGAAAGGTGAATAAAGAAATTACATTCAAGTGAGAGTAAAAAGTTTCCACCCAACAAACTTAAAAGTAAAAAAAGGTTTACTGAAATACTGAGTATCTAATCAAATTATAATTTGATATTTCAAAGTTACATCTTCAGACGGACCAAAATTTAAAGTTAAGTGGAAATTTTGGTGTTTTTTAAGGATCAAATTTTCAATAATTTGTACAAGTAACAAAAATAACAAAATCAGGCAAAACAAAATGTTTCCAAATCAATTTTATTTTCAATAAAAAACGTATAAAACTTCAATAAAAGCTGCAGTTGTGTGTCTGTCTGGTGGATTTTGGATCAAATCGTGTTTGTTTTTCATTCACTGGGTAAAAAATCCAGAAATTTTGCTAAAATAGGAGCAAAAATACTTTGTAATAAAATTATAAAAACACAGCATAGTAAAATATTCCTAAATGTACTCACTGCCAGTAAATGTCTGGATGATTTTTTTTCCCATTTAAATGGTTTAAAAGCAGCAGAAAGTGGAAGTGGAAAATAAAAAGGTGTAAAAACTGGATTGTGCTTCACGTTCTGCTGCTGTTTGTGACGTGTGGAAGCGAAGCGACCGCAGGACGTTACGAAACATAAAACTTTATCGTTTTTACCTCAGAAGGAAACGGCTGAAATGACCACAGCTGAGAGGTTGATGCAAAAGTTTCTGTTGTTTTTCTACTAGTTTAACATTTTCAGTTACAAAACTGTCTGAAAATGAGGGAAAATACCTCAACACACATCTACGTGCAAATCAAACGTGTTCAAATGGCCTAGTCAAAGTACAGACCTAAATCTGATTAAGAAACTTGAAACATGATGAAAACGTTTTATGTTTTTCTTTGTTAAAGCAGAAACTCTTCACCTCTAGTGAAGAATGTCTCTGCTTTGTGTTGTCATGTAAAAAAACCACCTGAACAAATTTAGATTTGTTCTCTGGAACAAAAGGTGTGAAGTTTTTACAGCGACTGAATGTGGGAAATTCATGTGTGACTTTGTCTGCAGTCAGAACAGGAAATCCTGAAAAAGTCAAATCATAGCGTCATGCAGACTGTAGAGCAAAAATCTGAGCTGCACTTAAAAACAATGCAACAGATTTAATGTGAACATGAAGGAGTTTCACAGCATGAAGCCTCATTTGGTACATAAAGACATTTCTGATGCAAAGATCCGTTAAATTATTTACTGAATGAGTTTTTGTTGATGAGTTGCTCATCAACAAAAAGCCTCCTGCATGTTTCTGTCTCATTTTAACCTGTTCAGGTCAAAATTCACGAGTCCATTTAAAAACTAGTTTGAAATATTTTTGTGCAGATTTGAAAACCCAAACTGATGACTTTGTTTCTCATCATTTGTTGACACACAAGTTGCCACCATGACAAAGCGAAACAGGCGACGCGTTTTCTGACGACGTTTCTCAGAAATGAACCACTGAGATGAAGCTTGTGGTCGGAGGGCGAACAGGTTCTGATGCGAGGGGCGGAGGTGACAAACACTGACCACAACCTGCAGGAGACAAGCAGGAGCCCCGCTGATGGTACCGATAAATACCAGCCCGGATCCGCGGCCGCCAGTCCGACCCACCAGCTGATGATGAAGATGAAGATCCTGCTGCTGCTGCTGCTGCTCGCTGTGTGTCCATGCAGCCACTCCTCTCCAGGTACATGTTCCTCATCCAGACACTTCAGTTCATCACAGAGTGCTGCTTTACTTACTGCTGCAAAAACACAAAATTACCAAGTGGTTCTGGTTTCTGCACTTGCAGTAGGAATAAACCGACTGCAGGTTTTGTGTTTTTGCAAAGGAGATTTCTAATGTTTTTCTGTTAGAAACTTTGAAATGATCCATTTGCTGCTGAACTGGGATCTTAATCAACGCTCTAGTTTCATTTCGATTATTTTAATGCATTTGGCACAAATCAAAACGACTCCCCAGATATTTTCAAATGCATTTTGAGGTACGATACCCAACAGACACAGAACCGTATCGCCGATACCGATACTTTTTTATTGTTTCAGTTTTATTCACCAGGAAACTTCTGACTTTCAGGTGATTCATGGTGAATCATTTTGTCCCATCAGACAAGACATTTAAAAACTTTTAAAGAAATATCAACACTACATACAGAAACAATGGAAGAACAAAACAAATTTATGTCCATAGAGTAAACAATCGTCAGAATAAATTCTTAAATGGAATTACAGAAATTAATTTTCTTAATGAAAAGCAAATTTCAACAAATCTCAAGGTTTTTAATAAAATGTTTTTTTGGCTGAATCGAAGAGCCCCGAATTATTAACCCGAATCTGGAAAAGTCTTCATGAAAATACTGCCATCCAAAAAGAGACAACAAAACATTTTTAATTTACTACTGACGGAAACGACAAAGAAGACGACGAGAAGGGGAAGGAGGATGATGGTGCTGTTTGTTTTCTAAAGATTTATCACATAAAAAGTTACTCATGTTTGATTTTAATTATGTTTCTCAACTAATGGAAACTGCAATTGAGAAACTGTGTTTTTTGGACATTAGTGGAATACGAACATTTATGATGGAAACCAGTAAAACACAAAGCCAGAAACAAAAAGCTTCCAGTTTACCATGGAAAAACAACATCTGTATTGACTCACTGACTTTTCTGCAAAGCCTTAAAAAGCACGAGGCAACAGTAGGAAGGAACAACAACCCTAACAGGAAGATTATGACTATTATGTCAATATTAATTAATTATTGACTTAAAAAAAGCTCCTATATCTTCATGAAAAGTAATTTTTATGTCATTTTGGTCTCATTTCAAGTGAAGGAAGACATTTGCATTAGAAACTGGAGAAACGTTCATATTTTGTGATTTTTCGGTTTTAATTTCTGTGGTTCACAGCTCACTATCCGACCGGGAAGAACCGGCCGTGCTGCCTCCACATCTCCAGGAAGAACCTCAGCAGTCGGATCGTCGGGTCGGTTTTCCATAAGCAGCCGGCCCGGTTCCCCTGCGTTAGAGCCGTGATGTGAGTTCAATCATTTCATTTCAACACGCAGAATCTCAGCAGAACTAAGCAGCTTGTGTCCATGTCCAGATTCTACACAAAGAGTGGACCCATATGCGTTCACCCCAACGACGCCTGGGTCCAACAAGGTACAGCAGCTCTTAACAAGAAATGATTTATACATCACTCTGGTTTTCACCTTCTTCTTTTTTCTTTTCAGTCATTGCCAACATTACGAGGAAGGCGTAAAGCGAACAACTGGACCTGCAGCTCAATTTAAAATATTAATCATCCTCAGGCCTGATTCTTACAGATGAGCTCCACTGTGAAAAATGAAATATTTATTTGAGTCATAAAATTGCTGCATTTGCTTTCAACACTTAAAATATTAATTGTATTTGTTGTACTTATGAACTTTCCCTATAAAATGCTTTATGAAATATAAATAAATTTGCTTCTTTTTTCACTCATATTATGCTTCTGAAAATGAAATAAATATATTTTTGTCAATAATTATGATTTTGAACATGTTTACACTAAAATCTTTAATGACAGAAGAAATGTAAAAGTAACAGGACTTTACTGCCATCTTGTGGCCAAAGCTGGTATGAACCTGGAAAACATAAAGTTTTATTTAGTTATCAGTGTCTAATTATTAGTAAATACAAACTGAAAATGTGTTGGAAACCACATGGACAATACAGTCAGTGACAAGCATCACATCATAAATCATGTGGAAACGTTTCTGCACAAACTGTGAGTCGATTTTACCACGAAAAAAAACATTTTTATTCATTTATTGAGATTCAAAAGAGCCATAAGCTTGAAAAATCATATAAAAATATAAACCTGGCCGTAACAACGTTCTTCGTTTGTCTTCCATGATTTTCAGTCGGTTTCTCTCTGTTTGACATGTGGTGTCTCCCCCAGCTGGGGGCGCTGTGGCAGAACCCGGCCGGTTCTGGTCAGAGCACAGTGGTTTCGGTCTGCAGGATGGACTGGGCCCGAGTGTTTCTGGGAAACTGAGTGATGTTGGGGTTTGCTGACAGGCGGCGAAGACTGTAGTCCTGCAACACGCAGCGATTCGTGGATAAACTCCTCCATGTCCTCCGCACCTCCATCTGAACCTGCAGGGAGGAGGAGGAGGATGAGGAGGAGGAGGAGGAGGAGGAGGAGGAGGAGGAGGAGGAGGAGGAATAGGAAGAGGAGGAGGAGGAGGAGGAAGAGCTGACTGACTGAATTGATCCGCAGAGGAAGTGGGCAGGAAGTCTCACCTCGCTGTTGAGGAAGCAGTAGAGGACGGCGACGATGAGGCCCTGAAACAAACAGGCGACATTCAGACTTGATAAACAATTCGGTTCATCGTCTCATTGATTTTAAAGATTGTTTTAGATTCTGTTTTAGTCATTTTTGCACCGTTTGAACTTTTCTGGCCGATTACAAATCTGTTAAAAAGCTTAACCTGCCAATTCCAGTTTTGACCGATACCAATATTTTTGTCTGAAATGTTGCTCCATACACCAAGAAATTAGCTGACTTGGCTACAGTGGAGTAACTATGAATTATAGTCGGTGGGTCAGTCAGAGCTTTCCAACCGGAGAGCGAGAGGACAAGCTAGAAAAGATCGGCTTCATAAGTAAAAATCATCTGATCACTGATTTCCCAAAATCATGGCAACCGGCACCGATAAACCGCCTGGCTGATAAATCGGTGCATCTGTAGTTCATTTAATTTTATTTCCTTTCTGTCTTCTGCTTCTGATGTCCAGCTGAACAGTCAACAGAAAAAACTAAATTAATAAATTGTTAAAAAAAATAATAGTAGAAACAGAAATCTAAAGGAGTTTTGTTCGGCTCCCTCACTTTGACGTTATCTGCGTTTAAACTGAAAGTTGAATCAAGAGGACACAGAACCCTGAGAACGTTTCTGGACCTGGAAGGAGCCGAGGCCGAGCTCGAAGAAGATCTTGATCTGCTTCAGCGTTTCATCGTCCGGCTCCATCAGGTAGAAGAAAACCACGTAGTTTACCCCGAACAGAGGAATCAGCAGCAGGGTGGACTTGGCCAGCCGCCTGCACAGAGGGTCAAAAACAAGGAACTACGGCAGGAACTACAGCAGGAACTACAGCAGGAACTACAGTAGGAACTACAGTAGGAACTACAATAGGAACTACAATAGGAACTACAGTAGGAACTACAATAGGAACTACAGCAGGAACTACAGCAGGAACTACAATATAACTACAGCAGGAACTACAATAGGAACTACAGCAGGAACTACAATAGGAACTACAGCAGGAACTACAATAGGAAGTACAGCAGGAACTACAATATAACTACAGCAGAAACTACAACAGGAACTACAGCAGGAACTACAATATAACTGCAGCAAGAACTACAATATAACTACAGCAGGAACTACAATAGGAACTACAGCAGGAACTACAGCAGGAACTGCATCAGGAACTACAGTAGGAACTACAATATAACTACAGCAGGAACTACAATAGGAACTACAATATAACTACAGCAGGAACTACAATAGGAACTACAGCAGGAACTACAATAGGAACTACAGCAGGAACTACAATAGGAAGTACAGCAGGAACTACAATATAACTACAGCAGAAACTACAACAGGAACTACAGCAGGAACTACAATATAACTGCAGCAAGAACTACAATATAACTACAGCAGAAACTACAGTAGGAACTACAAGCGGAACTACAGTAGGAACTACAATAGGAACTACAGTAGGAACTACAATAGGAACTACAATATAACTACAGAAGGAACTACAATAGGAACTACAGCAGGAACTGCATCAGGAACTACAATATAACTACAGCAGGAACTACAGTAGGAACTACAATATAACTACAGCAGGAACTACAATAGGAACTACAATATAACTACAGCAGGAACTACAATAGGAACTACAGCAGGAACTACAATAGGAAGTACAGCAGGAACTACAATAGGAACTGCAGCAGGAACTACAATATAACTACAGCAGGAACTACAGTAGGAACTACAATATAACTACAGCAGGAACTACAATATAACTACAGCAGGAACTACAATAGGAACTACAGCAGGAACTATAATCGGAAGTACAGCAGGAACTACAATAGGAACTGCAGCAGGAACTACAATATAACTATAGCAGGAACTACAGCTGTAGTTATATTGTAACTCTAGCAGGAACTACAGTAGGAACTACAATATAACTACAGCAGGAACTACAATAGGAACTACAGCAGGAACTACAATAGGAAGTACAGCAGGAACTACAATATAACTATAGCAGAAACTACAGCTGTAGTTATATTGTAACTCTAGCAGGAACTACAGTAGGAACCACAGCAGGAACTTCCACACTGACAGGACAAACTTAGAACAATCAAATCAAGCTGAGTTTAACGATCAAAGTGATTTTTTACAGTACCTGTACTGCGATTGGTCGTTTCCTCCGACGTCTGAGCTGCGTAGTTTCTGCACCAAGACTCGAATGATGCTGATGAACAGCAGGAAGTTTATCTTCAGGAGAAACAGAGCAGACACAGACGGAGCTTTTATTACATAAATAAGCTACTTTTACACTCACAAAAAAATCATTACAGTTTTGAAGAGAACAAAAGCATTTAAACATTTAAATAATATAGCAGAAAACAGATTTCAACCAGGTTAAGGTGTCTAGAAACCTTTAAAAATGAAAACTAAATAAATCTCACGATGATGGACGCCATGATGGGCCAGTTGATCAGCCGGTCAGGAACTGGGTTGTCGTTGATCTCCCAGCATCTGGCAACAAACCAACAAATGTTCCCTGAAGTATCCATCACATTTATTCCCCCAGGTGTCCAAACTCACCAGGTGTCCAAACTCACCAGGTGTCCAAACTCACCTGGTGTCCAAACTCACCAGGTGTCCTCTAGGTTGATCCGGCTGACGATCCAGGCCACGGTGAAGACAGACGGGATTCCTGACGGAGAGAGAGCGGGTCGGTTCAGGTTCTGCCAGACGGAGAACATCTCACCAAGGCGCGTTCAGGAAGCGCAGCGTTTAACGGCGATGCGTCGGCTGCTGCGGGGGAGGGTTTGATCGATGGTGGAAGAACGGAGCAGCCGAGGCAGAGCGGAACAAAACGGACCGGGAGGCATGGAAATGTTTACAGGATGACGCACCGTCTGGGTCCGGTTCTGATCCAGGAGAATCTTTAGAAACAACGAGTGTCCTATTTAAAGGCCGCTTGGGGATGTACGGACCCCAGGAAGCAAAAGAGAGATTAGAACAAAAATGAAAGAGGAGCACTGCAAAAACACAACATCTTTAAAAAAATGTTTTTGTCTGTTTTCTATTGCAAACATTTCAGAACTCTTGAAATAAGACAAAATAAACTTTTCATCAAGATTTACTTGTAGTTAATTTGGTCTTATTTCCACTGTACTAAGATATAAACTAAATTTGTGTTTTTGCAGTGCAGCTCTTCAGGAAACAGGAAGTTCACAATTACAGGAATGTAAAGGTTTCAAAATAAAGATGTGAAGATCCCTGAGCTGCTGGTCCAGCAGTTCATCCCTCGTTCCAATTATAACGGGAAAAAATCTCGTTATGACTGAGATAATCTGCCTTTTTACTTAAAACAAGCTCCAGTTTCTGTCTTCTATGTTAGTCGTGTCTTTTTTAAAGTGTTCTGAGATATTTCCACCAGAGCTGGACTAAAATACTTGGTGAGTTTTTGCAGTGCAGGTCGTCTCCGATCGGTGCGGTGCAGAGGGACGGACAGACGGACGTCCCGCTCACCCCAGCCAATCAGCATGCAGACGGAGAGGCGGACGCAGCAGGTCCGGATGACCAGCAGCAGCATGTGCAGGTACAGACCCTCCACCAGCAGCCAGAAGAAGTTCGCCATGACGAAATAGTTGAAGAAAACCAGGCTGGTCTTACAGCCCACCTGGAGTAGAAACCAGGACATGAAATATGAAGTATCAGGAAAAACCTGCAGACGTTTAACAAATATTCAATAAAACAACAAAGCAGCACTTGGTGCTCATGTGTCAAATCAAGAGGAAAGCACAGCAACAAAATGGCGGCAAGAGAAGAGACACAATTATTAGTTTCTCTGCTTCTGTCCTGATTCAAACGAGATACAAAGAGCAAATATTTAGAACAGGATATGATTAAATGAGATTATATAGTTTCTGCAGAGGCTGGCATATTAATCACCAGAATAACAGATTTATGTTGGATGAAAACAGATATATAATTGTCTTCTAGATGAAGTAAAGAGCAAAAACTGGAGTCGATGAAAAGAAGCCAAAGATCAACTTCAGGAAAACTTTCAGAAAACTTCAGGAGCCAAACAAAGTCCGACTGCTGGGAGGGAAAATGTAACGAACTGAATCAAGACTTACAGAAAACTACTTCTGACATACTGGGCTAAATGAAACCTAAGAGTGTTTTCTATG